AGCCGTGGTGATGTGGTGCACGAGACCGCCAGTAGTAGTAGTAGTAGTAGTAGTAGTAGTAGTAGTAGTAGTAGTAGTATTAGTAGTAGTAGTAGTAGTAGTAGTAGTAGTAGTAGTAGTAGTAGTAGTGGTAGTAGTAGTAGTAGTAGCAGAAGCAGTAGCAGAGGTAGTTGTAGTAGTAGTAGTAGTAGTAGTAGTAGTAGTAGTAGTAGTAGTAGTAGTAGTAATAGTAGTCGTAGTAGTAGTAGACGTATTAGTAATCGTAGAACTTGTAGTTGTAGTCGTGGTAGTCGTACTAGTAGTAGTAGTAGTAGTAGTCGTAGTCGTAGAAGTAGTAGTAGTAGTAGTCGTCGTAGCAGTAGTAGTAGTCGTAGTAGTTGTCGTAGTAGTAGTAGTAGTAGTAGTAGTCGTCGTCGTCGTCGTCGTCGTCGTCGTCGTAGTAGTACTAGTGGCAGTAACAGTAACAGGTACAGGCAGTACCAGCCGCAATCTTAGTAGTATTGTTGTTGTTAGTCGTAGTAGTAGTAGTAGTAGTAGTAGTAGTAGTAGTAGTAGTAGTCGTAGTAGTAGTAGTAGTAGTAGTAGTAGTAGTGGTGGTGGTTGTGGTAGTAGTACCTGCAGTAGTAGTAGTGGAAGTTGTTGTTCTAGTAGTAGTCGTAGTAGTAGTAGTAGTAGTAGTAGTAGTAGTAGTAGTAGTCGTAGTAGTAGTAGTAGTAGTAGCCGCCGTAGTAGGAATACTAATTGTAGTAGTAGTAATAGTAGTAGTAGTAGTAGTTGTAGTAGTAGTCGTAGTAGTAACCTTAGTAGTAGTAGTAGTAGTAGTAGTAGTAGTAGCAGCAGTAGTTTTCGTAGCAGTAGTAGTTGTAATCGTAGTAGTAGTCGTAGTTGTAGTAGTCCTAGTGGTAGTCGTGATCGTAGTAGTAATAGTATTGGTCTCCGTCGTCATAGTAGCAGTAGCAGTAGCAGTAGTGGCAGTATCAGTAACATGGACAGGCAGTAGTAGTTGCAGTCGTAGTAGTAGTAGTGGCAGTACTCGTACTCGTATAATAGTACTAGTCGTGGTCGTAGTGGTAGTAGTAGTAGTAGTAGTAGTCGTAGTAGTAGTAGTAGTAGTAGTAGTAGTAGCCGCAGTAGTAGTAGCGGTCGTAGTCGTAGCAGTACTAATCCCAGTAGTCGTAGTAGTAGTAGTAGCCGTAGTAGTAGTAGTAGTAGTAGTAGTAGTAGTAGTAGTAGTAGTAGTAGTAGTGGTGGCAGTAGTCGTATTAGTAGTAGTTGTTGTTGTGGTAGCAGCAGTTGTAGTGGTAGCAGTCGTAGTAGTAGTCTTTCTGGTAGTAATACTCGTAGTGGTAGTAGTAGTAGTGGTAGTAGTGGTAGTAGGCGGTAGTGGTAGTACGAACAGTAGTCATAGTAGTCGTAGCAATCGTAGTAGTAGTAGTAGTAGTATTAGTAGTATAGTAGTAGTAGTAGTAGTAGTAGTAGTAGTAGTAGTAGTAGTAGTAGTAGTAGTAGTAGTAGTAGTAGTAGTAGTAGTAGTAGTAGTAGTAGTAGTAGTAGTAGTAGTAGTAGTAGTAGTAGTAGTAGTAGTAGTAGTAGTAGTAGTAGTAGTAGTAGTAGTAGTAGTAGTAGTAGTAGTAGTAGTAGTAGTAGTAGTAGTAGTAGTAGTAGTAGTAGTAGTAGTAGTAGTAGTAGTAGTAGTAGTAGTAGTAGTAGTAGTAGTAGTAGTAGTAGTAGTAGTAGTAGTAGTAGTAGTAGTAGTAGTAGTAGTAGTAGTAGTAGTAGTAGTAGTAGTAGTAGTAGTAGTAGTAGTAGTAGTAGTAGTAGTAGTAGTAGTAGTAGTAGTAGTAGTAGTAGTAGTAGTAGTAGTAGTAGTAGTAGTAGTAGTAGTAGTAGTAGTAGTAGTAGTAGTAGTAGTAGTAGTAGTAGTAGTAGTAGTAGTAGTAGTAGTAGTAGTAGTAGTAGTAGTAGTAGTAGTAGTCGTAGTAGTCGTAGTAAGTAGTAGTAGTAGTAGTAGTAGTAGTAGTAGTAGTAGTAGTAGTAGTAGTAGTCGTAGTAGTAGTAGTAGTAGTAGTAGTAGTAGTAGTAGTAGTAGTAGTAGTAGTAGTAGTAGTAGTAGTAGTAGTAGTAGTAGTAGTAGTAGTAGTAGTAGTAGTAGTAGTAGTAGTAGTAGTAGTAGTAGTAGTAGTAGTAGTAGTAGTAGTAGTAGTAGTAGTAGTAGTAGTAGTAGTAGTAGTAGTAGTAGTAGTAGTAGTAGTAGTAGTAGTAGTAGTAGTAGTAGTAGTAGTAGTAGTAGTAGTAGTAGTAGTAGTAGTAGTAGTAGTAGTAGTAGTAGTAGTAGTAGTAGTAGTAGTAGTAGTAGTAGTAGTAGTAGTAGTAGTAGTAGTAGTAGTAGTAGTAGTAGTAGTAGTCGTAGTAGTAGTAGTAGTAGTAGTAGTAGTAGTAGTAGTAGTAGTAGTATAGTAGTAATAATAATAGTAGTGGTCGTAGTACGACGGCGTCGGGCGCCCCTCGACCCCCCCTCGCAGCAGCAGCGCGCGGAAGGCCTTTGACCATCTCCAGGGCCCAGTTATAAGGGGGGGGGGCATGCATCGAGAACGCCGCGGAAGCGTCAACCTGGATCACCACGGAGAGCCCCCGGCCGATAAGGTCGCGCGCCTCCAGAAGCTCCTGGGAGGCACGTTCAACGGGATCTGGCACGGCTACACACAGAAGTACCCCAACCACGCCATATTGATCTCCCCAAGCAACCCCTTCCTGAACGATGAGGCCACGTGCAAGGGCTTCCTGGGCGCCTGGCGCAGATGTGGCTTCGACGCCTACGAGATGAATCGGCGACTGGAGCTTAAAGTCGACTGGCATGCCGTACGTGAAAGTCACATCAGGGGGACCTCTGGCAAGGGGTCCCACCAGTCAAAGGGGTGGAGCTCTAGCTCCCAGCACCAGTCCTGGGATTCTTGGGAGGGGTGGTCCTGGCACGATTCAGGGCAGTCGTGGCACGACCATGACTGGCATGGCGGAGGCGAGAGAGGCTGACGAAACAGCGGCGGTGCAGACCGCGACGGCAAGAGGTCCAAGTGGTCGTGATCTCCTTGTCACTGTCGTTAGACGCGTCAGAAGCGTCACCAAAAGTCATGGTCGGTAGCCAGGCGCCAGACACCAGAAAGTGTGCCGTTAGCCACTTCAGTGCCAACCCCAATTCCTGGCTTCACGTTCAGCGCTTTTCTGCTCCCCTCCCTACCCTTCGTTCCAAGTGACTGCGTGGCCGTTGGCCACTTGCTTCCCTGGCGTTGCCCCCCCCCCCCCCCCCCCTCCCCCCTCCTCTGCCGACCCGTTTCGGTCGCGGCGCAGCGCCTGGCTCGTCCCTCGCCCTTGAGGATCAGGCTCCACGGCGCTGTCAAATACCTGGCGCGATGCCCTTGCTGGGGCGGGGCGCAGCGTGCCATCGCACGGCCCTGCCGTTTGCTGTAGCTGTGTTCACCCTGGCCTTCCCCGCGCCTGCCGCAGCCTGACCCGGCATCCCTCGTCAGCGGGCCTCGTGGCGACTGGTGATGGTCCCGATGCTGCGCCTGGCTTTGTCCCCCGCCCTTGGGGATCAGGCTCCACGGCGCTGTCAGTACCTGGCACGATGCCCCTTGCTGGGGCGGGGCGCAGCGTGCCGTGCGGCCCTGGCCGTTGACTGTAGCTGTTTTCGCGTTGGCCTTCGCTTGGACCCGGCCACAGCCTGGATTGGTATCCCTGGTGTATTGGCCCCCTTTTCGTGACTTCACGTGGCTCACGCGCGCCGCGTTTTTTTAGCCTGGTGAGGCACCCTGGCGTCCAGGTGACTCGCACGTCGACCAGCTCCGGCTAGAATGCTTGTGTTTTCCTGGCCTCTGGTCCTCAGACACAGCTACGGCCTGGCCGTGTTTGCAGCTGCCGCGTGCATGGTGGGACGCGCCCCTACGTGGATTGCGCAGGAGTGGTTTAGCCGTCTTGTTCTGCCATGTGAGGTTGTCTTTGTTGGCATGCAGCACTGCTGCGCTGGGCTGCTTGCGCAGCCCCGCGCTTTGTCGCGTTCGGTGGCACGACTACCTCTGGCGCCTGGCGCGACAAGGTACACATTGTTCGTCTTCCCAGTGGTCTCGCCTCTGGGATGGCTGCACTTCGGCCGCCTGGCTCACCTGGCAGCTCCTGCAGCCTGCCATCCGCCCCCTGCGTCGCTCAGCGCCCCTCGGCGGCAGTTTTGGCAGCCGTGAGTGCGCTCGCTGGATTATTAGGCTCCGCCCGTAGCCCGGGTCGACCTCTGACGCCGTCTGCGCCTTCGCTTGCGGCCGCGGTCAAAATGTATCCCCGCCAGTCCATCCAGAAACGATGCCCAGGCGAATTGCCCGGATCAGGCAAGGGAAACATGAGTGGAGCGAGAGGGGGCAGCCGTCTAACCGAATCCTCAGGTCAGTCCGAGCAGACCCAGAGGTCAGTGACAAGTCAACCATGAATGCGTTCGCGGATGTTTCGAAGTGGGAGGCCCTTGGAAGCTTAGACGGGCCACCTGGGGCCCTCTCGGGGTCACATATGGAGGCCTTGGGGGCTTTCTTGAGGACCTCTCAGGGCTCTCACGGACCCCCCTTTGGGGATCTTGCGAGAACTCTTGGGGTCATCGATCGACAAGGGGGCGGCGTTCGTTGGGGACATTTCCGTCGGATCCCGAAAACTCGATTCTTGGAACCCTCATTGGGAATCTCTTGGAGAGCTCTTGGGCGCCATTTGGGCCATGCCAGAAAACGGTTGTGACCCTTCAAACAAAGCTTGCCAACATTTTGTGCTTTGTTATTGAGGGGTAGAGAGTGCGCCGCAGCTTGGGGCTTGTTTCGGGGCGGGAGCGAGGGGAAAAGAAACATTCAGTGGCAAGAAATGAGGATGAGCAGGGAGGGGCGAGAGCAAGGGCGAGATATGAGGCGGAGGGAGGAGCGAGGAGGCAGGAACACACAACCACGCGCGTGCTTCTCCCTGGCTGTCCCGGCGAGGCCTTGGACTTCAGCACGCCAGAGCAGACCCGGAAGAAGAGCATCAGTGCTTTCCAGCAGGCCCGCAGCGCGGTCGTGGGCCGTTCCGCCGACCTGGCGGCCGCCAGGGTGCGGGACGGCCGGGGGGATGTGGGAGTGAGACTTCGTCGGGCGGCGAAATCTATACATCTCCACTGCTCTTGGGCCAGGCTCATCCTGATGGGCCTGGCCCAGGAACAGTGGAGATGTATAGATTTCGTCGCCCCGACTTCGCGGGACGATTCTGGACGGCGCCTCCAGAGCTGGCTCGGGCCCCAGCGGCTTCCTGCGCGAGGAGGCGGGGGAGGAAGAGCAGGGGGATGAGGATGAGGCGAGGCTCATGACGAGGGAGCGAGCGAGAGAAGCGCAAAGAAACGGCTGGCGTTCCAAGCGGGCCACTGCAATTGAATTCAAGTAGAGTTGGTAAGGCAGTCGCTTTCTGTCGCTTTCGTAGGGGGCCTCAGCAACGCCACTTGGGAAAGGCGTGAATGCACGCTCATGCATGAATGCCCGAGCAGTCAGCAAAATCGACCGCCCCGACGAGCGGCTGGGCAGAGGTGGACATCTCCACGCCCGTACCCAGGGCGTCACCAGATTCCACGAGGGCCCTATGAGGCCCTAAGACCTACCTCGTAAAAGAGTCCGCAAAGGCTCCCAAGATGGTGTAACAGTGCCCCAATAGTCTCCGAACCTGGCTCTGGGTGGGCGTTGGGAGGGCCTCAAGAGGCTTTCAAGCGCCGGGAGCCTGAGGCAGCCCAAGTTCGCCCGAGATCTATAGCGACGGCCATATGGTCCATCTTTGGAGCTCGGGAGGCTCAACACAACTTCAAAACTTCGATCAATTACGCGTCCGCCCCATGTTTTTGATTCCAGAGATGGCAGCGCCTAAGACTGTCCCAAGAGGTTCTGAGAAGGCCCCAAGAGGCTCCCACGACGGCAGCCCAAGATTGCCTCCAGAGGCCACTAGGACAACTCCAGGGAGCTCCAGGAGGGCCCGACGAGGCCCCAACAGGGCTTCAAGACGCCCCAAGGCGCCCAGCGCCTCAGAGACTTCAGCCGTCTTGAGGCCTCTCTTGAGCCATTTTGATGCGCCCCTATTGGAGCTCTCTTGCACAATCATGAGCCGTTTTTTTTCCCGACCATCCTGTGGTGTTGGGTCCTCGTTTTGAAAAGAGCGCCCCGCGTCTCCTTCCTTCCCGCTGCCCTCCCCCTCCTCCCTCCTCATCGTCATCGCCCTCCGCGCCCAGTACAGCGTTTCGTGGCCCCATAGGAAGCTCCACCGAAGGCCGCAGTGGCTGTGATCACATGCGTCCCCGCCACCCATTTCGGCATACCCTTCACACGTTTCATGGGCCCAGAGGGAGTTCCACCGAAAGCCCCAGTGGCTGTGATCACATGCGTCCCCGCCGCCCATTTTGACAGACCCCTCATTCGCCGAAGGCCCCAATGGTTGTGATCACATGCGCTCCCGCCACCCATATCGGTACACCCGTCACACGTTTCGTGTCCCCATAGGGAACTCCACGGAAGGCCCCAGTGGTTGTGATCACACGCGTCCCCGCCACCCATTTCGGCACACCCGTCACACGTTTCGTGGCCCAATAGGAAGCTCCACCGAATGCCCCAATGACTATGATCACATGGGTCCCCGCCATACATGTCGTCACTCTAGTCACACGTTTCGTGGCCCCCTCGGGAACTCGACGGAAGGCCCCAGCGGCTGTGATCACATGCGTCCCCGCCACCATGTCGGCACACCCCTCACACGCTTCGTGGCCCCATAGTGAATTCCACCGAATACCACAGTGGCTGTGATCACATGCGTTCCCGCCACCAATGTCGGTACACCCGTCACACGTTGTGGCCCAATAGGGAGCTCCAGTGGCTGTGATCACATGCGTCCCCGCCACCCATTTCGGCACACCCTTCACACGTTTCGCGACCCCGTAGGGAGCTCTACCGAAGGCTCCAGTTGCTATGGCCACGTGCGTCCCCGCCATCTATGTCGGCACAATCCTCACACGTATCGTGGCCCCATACGGGGGCTCCACGGAAGGCCCAGTAGCCGTGATCACATGCGTCCCCGCCGCCTTTTCCGGCACGCCCCTCACACGTTTCGTGGCCCCATAGGGAGCTCCACGGAACGCCCCAGTGGCTGTGATCACATGCGTCCCCGTCGCCCATGTCGGCACACCCCTCACACGTTTCGTGGCCCCTTAGGGAGCTCCGCCGAAGGCCCCAGTCGCTGTGATCACAAGCGTCCCCACCACCCATGTCGGCACCCCTCACACGTTTTGTGGTTCCGTAGGGAGTGCCACCGAAAGCCCCAGTGATTGCGCTTGCATGCGTCCCCGCCACCCATGGCGGCACTCCCCTCATACGTTTCGTGTTCCCATAGGGAGCGCCACCGAAGATGGTTCGCATCATTGCGGTACTCACAACTGCATATGGTTGGGTCCCTCGCCAGGGGAATTAGTTTTGGCGTCTTGGAGCTCCCCTTGCTTCGGGCCGCCTTGAGCCATCTTGGGGCCTCCTTGGAGCCCTCGGGGCCCGTCTGATGCCGAACATACGGGGAAGCTGAAAACTCTGAAACCATAAGTGATCCAGTGTATTGGCCTCCCATGGCCCTGCTGGGGTGCTTCTTGGGAGGCTCTTGGAGGCATCTGGGTGCCTCTCGGAGATCTCTGAGCCGTCTTAGGCGAGCCTTAGGGCATCTCGCAAACACCTCGGGGCGTGTGGAGGCCGTCTTGGGGCTGTGGAGAGCGTCGAGAGCGCTTGGGAGTAACATGTAAGGGGCGTGAGAACAAGAACGAGCGAGAAAGAGAGAAAGAGAGAGAGAGAGAGGGAGGGAGGAATGGAGAGAGGGATGGAGAGAGACATGTAGAGTCATAGGGCAAGAGAAATATACAACGAGAGATATATAGAAAGAGAGAGAGAGAGAGGGAAAGAGAGAAAGAGAGAGAGAGAGAGAGAGAGCCAGAAAGAGCGAGATAGAGAGAGAGAGAGAGAGAGAGGGAAAGAGAGAAAGAGAGAGAGAGAGAGCCAGAAAAAGCGAGAGAGAGAGAGAGAGAGAGCGAGAGAACGCGAGAGCGAGAGGGAGAGGGAGAGGGAGAGCAGGAGGAAGCCAGGGAATGATGAGGGGAAGGTGTGATTTGTTCGGCGTCTGCTGGCGCTGCAACTTGCGATGCTAGTCCCAACTGCCTGGGCCAGACCTCTTTCAGGAGCAGAAGGATGAGTTGGATAATGAAGAGGACAAGGAGAATGATGAGGATATCGAAGAGGGACCAGGAGGATTAGAATGTCGCCCCCACTGCCAGGGCGAGACCTCCATCCTGGTGATGGCCAGCGAGGTCTCCACCCGCAGGGATTTCGACTTTGGCAAGGTGCAACTCCCAACTCTTCGTCGTCTTTGTGGTCCTCCTCGTCTCCGCCGCTTCCTCCGCCCTTCTCCTCTGTCGCCCTCTCGTCCTCCTCCTCGCACTCCTCTTCACGACCGTGCAGCCTGCGATCGGCCTCCTCTGGTCGCTCACGGGTCTGGCTCCTTCCACAAAAGCTTATAATGGGTCATATCAGGTATTGCTCGCCGAGCCTGGGTGATGACCAATGCTATCACGTAGCCGAACCTGGTCGTATGTGTGCGTGTGTCTTCGCGTGTGTGTGTGTGTGTGTGTGTGTGTGTGTGCGTGCGCGCATTTGTGTGTGTGTGTGTGTGTGTGTGTGAAGCATCTGATCTTGCGCTCTTGAGCACTGGATTCAGTGTAAGCTGCTTAGGTGTGTTTTTTTTTCACAGGATGCGCACCTTGCATGTCTGGTAAGGACTTTTATTGTGTACAGTGTCCTATTTGTCTGCCGAAACACCTGAACAACCAGCGACACGGCTAGCGCGTACGAGCCGAAGAACCAGTCGTCCAGAAGATGAAACCGCACCCTCACCCTCTAAGCAACATCGAGGAATGCAGGCAACATTGACTATCTCAGCACAATTCAGCACATCACCATTCCGAGCGAAAACGGTGATGATGCTGATGATTATGCTGGTGAGGGTGGTTATGTTGAGGAGGAAGCGGACCAGTGTAAATCCAAGACGCATTAACGATGTTGCAGTAAACCCTCCCTTCAAATTCCCTCTTCTTTCCCCTCAAAAAAATAGTTTCCATGGCAGGAAGTATGAACCTATCAAAACCCCCGAAGTTTTTGATGGCAACAATAATAATGAAAAGCCAGGAAAAACATCTGATGATCTCTTCACACCGCTGGCGCGCTCGACTCAAGGGCCCTAAAGGGTTTGGGCCAAAACGTAACAGTACGCTCGCCATGCTACACTCAGGCTCTGCACAATACACAATTTGTACAGCGTATATCTCACACCCGTGACAGAGTAACAAGAAAAAACAGAGAGAAGTCTTCCCTTCAATATGAAATGTGATATCCGAAACTCGACATATAAACATCTTAAGCATGTTCTGCACAAACTGCCGAAGACTGCATAAACCAACTGCATAAAATTGAGATACAAAACCTGCATAAATATTGAGTGCAAACCGGCGTCTGCAGGGGAATATGAAGTGCATAATTGTCAATAAAACTTAACGTACAACAGAAATCATCTGAAGCTTCGCTGGTGTGTTGGTTCACTCACTGCAGCCCTTGGGGCTGTCGTCTGCTGCCCGATCGTAGCCGTCCTGCCACTGGTTGGGTTCAGTCGTCTCCACTGAAACTTCGCCTGCTCGCTTGAATACATTCATTTTGTGACAGAGTCGCCACTGATCTCCCTGCAGCCGGTAAGTAATCATAATCTGTACGCCGACCGTCCGCCGTCGCACCTGCTTGTGGTTGCTGCTTGTCTTCTTGAGGTGGATGGTCGTCTCCTTGTCGATGGTGGTCGTCGCTGTCTCCTCTGTCGTCTCATGCTTGTTGCTGGTCTCGATCTGGTACTTCACACTGGAGTCGTCTCGATGCTCCATAAACTTTCGCAATATGTAGTAGACTGCTGGAACTGCCACTGCCATTCCAATCATGGTAAACGTTAATGCATCCCAGATGCCTCCAGAAAACCACGAACACTTCGCGATCTCGTCATAGTAGTACTTGTACTCTGTGTGGTAGTCGAACTCTGGAGTGTAAGTTGCCGCTGACTTGCAACAACACGTCGCAAAAGCTGTCAACTGCATGAGTGATGATCTCGCCTTAGTAGCTGATGACGTCTCCATCTTACTCTTCTTGATGATCTCCTGACGCTCCTCCTTGGTCTTCTTCTTGGCTGCCGTATAGGTAGGGTCATGCTGTAGCTGAAGTCGTCCAGCTCGAAGTCTGTCTGCGAAAAGGTGCCTTGCCGCTAACTTCGTGAGACCATCCGCATACAGCCGCTCTGATGAGACCCACTTCCATTGCGTCTGTGTAGCATCCATCCGTTCTCGTAGTGCCAATACCTCGATGCCGGTGCGCTTGTCCTGGAAGCTGGTGATGCTCTCCTTCTTGGCTGCGTCGTAGAGCGCCTTCGCATCGATCACGAGTGCTGACTCTCCTGCGTAGTGCGTGCTCTCGTCAATGTTGCCGTTCACGTTGTCGTAGATGAGGGCTGCCCAGAATCGCTTCGAAAATTCTGGTGCGTCCATGCCTGCTGCCGCTTCTTGGGATTCTGCATGTAGTGATGACCCGGCTAGTCTCATCAACTTGAAAGACTTCAAATCAACAACGCAGAAATCTGCATCCTCGCCGTCAAGTACTTTCGAGTGACATGCCATAATCACGTATCCTCCTTGACAAGATTCGTCTTGTCGTGCTCCCCAAGCTGCGTCCGTCATCGCTACGAGCGCGATGTCGCTGACCTTGCCAATCTTCTTCATCTTAAGACCGACGTCCGCGTTCTGCTTGTAGAACCTTAGCGTCTTATTTACCTCTCTTGCTGTCGCCACCGTCGCCGTTGGAAGCTGCCCTTGGTGAATGCTGACCGATGCTGACGTATGTGGGCATGCTTGCGAACTTGGCCACTGTAGAGCTCCAAGTAGTCCTCGAAGTTGGCGTATCTCCTTTGGCGTGAGTAGTCGGTCGTTGTTGCCGTCCCTCTGATCAACTGTGATCGGTTTGATGTTGGAGGCGTAGGACTGCATCTTGATGTTGATCTCAGTGCCGTTGGAGTGCCTGTTGTCCCAGTGAGTGGTCAGGTGTAGATCCGATCCACAATGCTCCATTTTGTCCTCCTCTATCCGTTTCCGAAACTTGAACTTGCTTTTGACTGCCTCGATGATGTTGCTGTAGTTGCTGCCGGGCTTGCGATCTCCTCCTCCGAGCATGTCGTCTACGTAGAGTAGGATAAACCCGTCTCAGTTGCCGTCCTTGTCGTAGCTAACGAAGAGGCGTGTGTCCAGGGGGTGCTGTTTGAGCCCGCTGGCCTTGAGGTCATCGACTGCTCGTTGTCACCGACGTCGTGGTGCGTCCACTTGTCCGTACATAGGCTTGATCAGCTTCATGAGCGTGTTCGGCTCATTGCCCATGAGGTCTGCTGCGTCTCGTGGTACTTTGACGTAGGGTACTCGTTCTTGCGGCCGTCCCTGTAGGAATGCGGTTGCCACGTCCGCTGTCCACAATCTCCATCCGCTGTTCGCTGCCAGTAACATAGCCAACTGACGTCCCAATCGAGATGCTGTAGGTGATGCCGTCGGTACCTTGCCGTCGGTGTGCCGACATCGTTCGTGGTCCATTTCAGTACCCACTTGGCCTTCAGGATGAGCTTGGGGTCTTCGTCTCCGGTAGGCTTATGAAACTCCCAAACTTCATTTCCGAAAAATTCCTCAAGTTCCTTCCGCTTGCCATCCATGAATGCTGCTCGCTCGTGTGGTGTCATGGTCCTGGTACTGATCTCGGCGTAAATGTCATTGAGCTTCGCTTTGTTGCCGTCGAACTCCCATGCGAATGGTAGGTCCTTGTCCTCTAGCATGAGCTGCATGGCTGCGAGCTCGTCGTCTGCGCTGTCGTCTCCCACTGGCTGAGACTCTGCCGTTGGTACTGATAACGGTGGTCCTCGATATACTGATATGCTTCTCCAGGTCGGGTAGAGATCGAAGCTTCTCCTGCATCCAATCGCCTGCGTTTCTCCTTTAACTCCAAACGCGCCGTAGCAGATGTTGGAGCCGGTGTTAGTGAACTCGACGATGTTGCCGCCGCTGGTCCCAACATAGCTGGTGCTGGTATTGGTGGTAGCAGCTGAACTGGAGGTGGTGGTGACTGTGACTGCGTGGTTGGTGGAGTCGTTGACTGTGCTGGTGATCCCATAGTCTGAGGTGGGGGTGTCGGTGGTATTGGTTCTTGATCTGGTTGTCCTTCGCTTGGCTGTCTTTCTTGTTGAGGTGTGCCGGGAACTTCCATCTGCTCGTCCTCTGTAGTGCTTGGTATGTCCGGACTGGGGGAGGGTGGTGATGCCATCTCCGTTGTTGCCGAAGCTGCTGCTCCAGTAAACGGTGTTCCCGCTGTCGCTTTGGTGGTGGTTCGTCTCCTGGTCCATCGTCGTCGCTGATGTCCATGTCCGAGTCGCCTGGCGCGTCGAACGGTTGCTGCTTTGAGCTAACATCGTGGAACTGCGTGACTCTTGTCCTCCTCATGTTGCCGAGCGTCTCCTTGGCCTGCGTGAGGTTCTCCAGGAGAACACATCCTTGATCGCTAACATCTGGTCGAACGTGTTCTGGGGTGGAGCGTAGTAGGTTCGTGCCGTGTACGATCCAGTAAATCCTCGGTCCGCTCTCATCCTGCCTCATCTCCATGAAGACCACGATAGCGGGTCCCTTCCACTTGTTCTTGATGGGCTTGTTGGTCTTGCCCTCTCTCTAGTAGTAGCACCGCTGGCCTGTCGCAAGATCGTGCTTGAGGGCAACATGACGTCGTAGGAGTGCACGTCGTAATTTGGCCGGGGCGTCCGCCTGCATCAACGCTGATGCCGCCATTGACCTTCGCTCAAGTACATTCTTGAAGTCCTCGTCCTCCTTCATCTGGTACAGGGTCGCTGGTGAGAACTTGTCGCTGGAGTTGGGCATGGTAGTAGTCGGATCCATTCCCAAAACCCACTGGCATGGTGAATAGCCCTTTGTGAAAGCCAACCGATTGATCTCCGTGATCAAATCCTCCGTGATAGCCGTCCTGGCGCCACGATCGATAACATCTGCACAATAAAGCTCCATTGCCTCTCGAACAACTTGATGCCGACATTCCACCACTCCCAGACTGGAATGCGCCTTGCCTGCTGCAATAACGATCGAAATGCTATGCTGTTCTAGAAACTGAGTAAAGCGATTTGAAGTGAAACCTGAACCATCGTCTGTCTGCAATTCTTCCATAGGTCCCGATTGCCTGATCCAGCCACGCTCAACTGCCTTGATCATCTCCTCGGCCG